CAACAATCTTTAATGTGAAATCACCTGGGCGGCTAAGTCATTTAAGCATCTGCCTTCAGCTCAGGTCGGGATCCCGGGGTCCTGGGATCGAGCCCCACATCAGTCCTGCATCAGGCTTCCTGCTCCAGGGGGAGCCTTCTGCTCCCTCTGCCTCTGCCTGTCTCTGTCTCTCATGAATAAATAAATGAAACCTTTCTAAAAAATGTGAGTGCACCTAACAACAGAGTGTCAAAATATATAAGGCAAAAAATAATAGGACTCCAAGGAGAAATAGATGAATCTACTCTCACAGTTGGAGACTTCAACACTCCCCTGTCAGTAATGGACAGATGCAGCAGTCAGAAAACCAGCAAGGACATAGTTGAACTGAACAATGTCGTCAGTCAACTGGATCTATTTCACGTCTATAGAACACATCATCTAACAACAACAGAATACACTTCCTTTACAAGCTCACAGAGAACATTCTCCAAGATAGGCCACATTTGGGCCATAAAACACACCCTAAATTTTAAAAGAACATAAATCATATGAAGTATGCTCTCAGACCACAATGGAATAGAAATCCATAACAGAGAGGTAGTTGGAAAACTCCAAAATAGTTGGAGAGTAAAACACACATTTCTAAATAACACATGGGCCAAAGAAATTTCAAGACAAATTTTTTAAATTTTTTAACTAAATGAAAATTAAAATACAACTAATCAAAATTGTGGGACACAGTGAAGGCAGTACTTAGAGGGAACTTTATAGCATTGAATTAATATATTAGAAAAGAAGAAAGATCTAAAATCAACAATCTAATCTTCTGCCTTAGGAAACTAAAAAGAGAACACATTAAATCCGAAGTAGGTAAAAAAAAGGAAATAATAAAAATTAGAACAGAAAGCAGTGAAACTAAAAATAGGAAATCAAGGAATAAAATCAATGAACCAAAAGTTGGTTCTTTGAAAAGATCGATAAAATTGATAAATCTCTAGCTAGGTTAACTAAGAAAAAAAAGAGAGAAGACACAAATTACTAATATCAGAAATAAAAAGGGGACATCACTACTGATTCTATGGGCATTAAAAAGATAATAAAGGAATATTATGAACAACTGTATGCCCATAAATTTGATAACCTACATGAAATGGACCAAATTCTTAAAAGACATGATCTACCAAAACACAAGAGAAACAGATCATCTAAATAGGCCTATATCTATTAAAGAAATTAAATCAATAATTAATAACCTTCCCAAAACAGGAAGAACCAGGTCTAGATGACTTCACTGGTTTATTCTGTCAAATATTTAAGAAAGAAATCATACCAATTCTTTACAATTTCTTCCAGAGAATAACAGAGGGAATACTCCCTAATTCATTTTATGAGGCCAGACATTATCCTAATACCAAAACCAGACAAAGACATTACAAGAAAGGAAAGCTACAAACCAATATCTCTCATGAAACAGATGCTAAAATCCTCAATGAAATATTAGCAAATAAAATCCAACAATGCATAAAAGCAACTATACACTATGACCAAGTGGGATTTATTCCAGATATGCAAGTCTGGTTCAACATTCAAAAATCATTTAATGTAATCTATCACATCAATAAGTTAAAGAAGAAAAATCATAGGACCCTATCAAAAGATGAGTGAAAAAGATCTAACACAATCTAACACCCATGCATGATTAAAAAAAACACCTCTCAGAAAACTAGGAATAGAAGGGGATACATATCATAATGTGTTGGTCAAAACCCATACCGTGTACAATATAAATAGTGAACCCTAAAGTAAACTATGGACTTTGGTTAATAATAATGTATCAATATTGCCCCATCAAATATAACAAAGGTACCACACTAATGCATGATGTGAATAATAGGGGAAACTGTGTAAGTGGGGGCAGGGGAGGAGGTGAGAAAGTATATAAGAACTCTTTGTATTTTCTGCTTAATTTTTCTGTAAACCTAAAACTCTCTGAAAAATAGTTTGTTAATTTTTAGATTTATTTTAGGAGAGAGACAGAATGAGCACAGGGTGGAGGGGCAGAAGGAGAGGGAAAGAGAATCTTAAGCAGACTCCATGCTAGGTGGAGAGCCCTAAGCAGGGCTCGATCTCACAACCCTGAGATCATGACCTGAGCTAAAACCAAGAGTCGGACACTTAACTGACTGTGCCACCCAGGCATCCCTAGTTCTTATTTAAAAAACAAACAAACAAACAACATACTACAAAATCTCTTTAAATAAATCAATGTGATTCCAATACATGAATAAATAGACAGACCAATGGAATAGAAAAGAAAGTTCAGAAATAAGGTCAAATACATATGTCAATTTAGTATATGATAAAGGTGGGTTATCTCAAATCACTGGAAAAGATGGAACTTTTAAATTAAATTTTTAATTGAAGTGTAATTAACATACAGTATTATATTAGTTTCAGGTGTACCAGTTTGTTCTCTGTATTTAAGAGCCTGGTTTTCTGTTTGTCTCTTTTTTCTTTGTTTGTTCATTTGTTTTGTTGCTTAAATCAAAACATCTGAGTGAGATCATATAGTATTTGTCTTTGTCTGACTTGCTTCACTTCCATAATGCCCTCTAGGTATGGATGCATGTTGTTGCAAAGGGCAAGATCTCAATCTTTTTATTGCTGAGTAATATTCCATGGTATATATATATCACAGAAAAGATGGAACTTTTAAATATATGGCAATGGGACAACTGGATAACCACTTAGAAAAGTTAGATCAACACTTTGTACCATACATAAGAATAAACTCTAAATGGATCAGAAATCTAAATGCAAAAAGAACAAAATCACACAAGCACTGGAAGAAAAACATGGATGAATGTCTCTAGTTTGGGTATAAGGCAATGGGTCTCAGCTGCAGATAATTTTCTAAAAGGTTTTATTTTTATTTTTTACTTTTTGAGAGAGACAGAGAGAGAGTGTGTAAGCAAGCATGAGCAGGGGTTGGGGGGGGAGTGGAGGGGTAGAGGGAAAGGGAGAGAATCTTAAGCAGGTTCCACACCCAGCACAGAGCCCAAATCGGGGCTCAGTCTCACGACCTTGAGATCATGACCTGAGCCAAAATCAGGAGTTGGATGCTTAACCAACTGAGCCACACAGGCAGCCCAGCTGCAAATAATTTTGACCCCAGGGGACATTCAGCAATGTCTGGAGACATTTTCAGTTGCCACAACTATCAGAGTCCTACTGGCATCAAGAGGGTAGATGTCAGGGATGCAGCTAAACGTCCTACACTGCACAGGACAGCTCCTCATGCAAAAAAGACTTATCCAGCCCAAATTGTCATTAGGGCAAGGGCTGAGATCCCTAGAACAGGGGAAGGCTAGTGACTACTACTTAAAATCCAGATGCAATAAAAAAAATATTGATAAATTTGACTACATAAAAATAAAAATTTTGAATAGGTTTTATTTTGAACAAATTTAAGTTTCCCCTAATACTTCGCATTTTGGTTTTTTATCATAATTATGTAATATAAAGAAATAGTAAAGAACTTTTTCACCGAGTCCTTCATAAATGCCCCCAGACCCACTCTAATGAGCCATACAAATTTAGCATTTTCTGTGTGGACCATGATGTGGACAAGTTTGGAAGTACTGCTATCTATAATGCCCATCTGTGTCTTAAATTGTTAACCTAAACTGCTTCTCTGAGTGTCCTCCTTATAATATCTACATTCCTGTGTGTCTATGTGTGTGTGACTGTGCATGTGTAGGTGTGTCTTGCAAATTTCCTTGAGACAAATATATTTGCTAAAGTAACTATATTTTATGTTTAATATTTATTCAGTGCAAGGCACTGTCCTAAGTGCTTTATGTATGTTAACATATTTAATCATCACCACAAACCTAGGAGATAGGTTCCCTTTTATCCCCATTTTACAGATGACCCTGAGACAAAGCAGTGAGTAAACTTGCCCAAAGTCACACTGCTACTAAGTGGTGGAGCCAAGAAAGGATTCATTAACTGCTTGATAAATATTCTCTATTATGGTGTTGATGAATAGTAATGTTGAATTGCTTAAAAAACTTAATCTATTGGGGAGCCTGGGTGGCCCAGATGGTTGGGTGTCTGTCTTCGGCTCAGGTCATGATCTCCAAGGTCCTGGGATCAAGCCCCATGTCAGGCTCCCGGCTCAGCAGGGAGTCTGTTTCTCCCTCTCCCTCTGCTTCTCCCCCTGCTTGTGTTCTCTCTGTCTCTCTCAAATGAATAAATCTTAAAAAAAAAAATAGGCTTACTCTATTTCAACTTTTATTTTTATGTTTTGCCAAAGCTATTTTTGAATGGAGCTTCTTTTTCTTTTAAGATTTTATTTTTGAGTAATCTCTACATCTACATCTACATCCAACATAGGCTCGAACTTACAACTCCGAGATCAAGAGTCGCATGCTCTACTGACTAAACTAGCCAGGTGCCCTGGATGGAGCTTCTTTTATTTTTTTTATTGTAATAAGAACTCTTAACCTGAGATCTACCCACTTAACACACCTTTACATACCCAATACAGTACTGTTAACTTACAGATCTCTAGAACGTATTCATCTTGTGTAATTGAAACTTTATACCCGCCAAACAACTCCTAATTTTCCCCTTCTTTTGAATGCATGTCCGTGCTCACTCTGCTCCTGTATTCATTCCTATGTTGCATGAATGTTTTTAGTTTGTCATTATTCATTCGTTATTACTGCAAACACTGCACTAGAAGTCATATGCCTTGTGTGCTTTGGGATATTAAATGTCCCCTTGTTATATTTGTATTAATAACAATTGTGCATAATGAACATGGTATAGAAAACTTCTGACAGGACTACTACTATAGATCTAGCAAACTCTTCTAAAGCAGCACTGTCCCTATAAAAGCTCCATTAAGAACAAGAATGTTTTCTTTTTTCACACTGAGGCCTATTTTTCTAGACAGATACAACACAGTTATGACAGTGCATGGACTTGGGCCACCCAAATGCAAGAAATACCTGTGTACTGTTGTAGAATTTTGATCATCTCTTGTAAGCGTTGGCCCTGAGGGCTGAATTTGAAAATGATGTCATGGTGATGTAAGAAGCTGTGTAAGTGATAAAAGATGATTTTTCTGGCTTCAAACGTTGTTTTAACATAAAGATCATGGGTGCTAGAAGAGAAAGCAGGGACAATATGTCAATGAATGACTTAGATGATGGCGAACAAGTGTCTTCCTTGCTTTCCTGTCACTGACCTGCTTATCTGGCAGTTGGTCTCCTGGCTGAAAGCACATTTCAGAAGTATGCCCAGGGTCATCAGGTTGATGTGCTCGTAGACCTCCACCACTGTGTCCTGAGAGCTGCAAATCTTCTCCTACTTACGCTGGCACAGGAGGTCAAGATCAACGACATCATCATCATCAAACTGCCTTTATCTGAAAGCTCCTCCCTGACCCTGCCCTTAGGATGTAAGGTTGACAAACCTGACCTAGGAGGGGCCAGAGGTCATGTAGGTAAATTAAGCAAGTGCTTACTTGGCATGAGGAAGGGAAAACTGCACCCAGCTGGGTGAGAAAGGGCAAAGAGCAAACCAGGTCTGGTAAATGACTGAGTTAAGTATCTTTGGCCTTTCAGTTATTACCATAACTGCATTACAATGGATCAGAATCCCAGTAAAACAGACCTATAATTACAAAGGGTCTCCCCAGGGCTTCCTCCATCTTCAATCCCCAAATTGCTAGACACCCCACCCCACCATCACTACGACCAAACACCATAGCCACACTTAAAATAAACTTAGAACATCGTAAAAAACATTTTCATTCAGGGGCGCCTGGGTGGCTCAATCGGTTAAGCATCTGACATGATTTCGGCTCAGGTCATGATCTCAGGGTTATGAGATCAAGCCCTGCTTAAGATTCTATCTCTCCCTCTGCCCCTCTGCCCTCTCTTTCTAAAAAACACAACACAACAAAAAAGCCAAACACATTTCTTTTTTTTTCCCCCTTGACTCAAGGTGATTTTATTTTTTTTAATTTTTTATTATGTTCAATTAGCCAACATATAGTACATCATTAGTTTTTGATGTAATGTTCAGTGATTCATTAGTTATGTATAACACCCAGTGCTCATCACCACACGTACCCTCCTTAATACCCATCACCTGGTTACCCCATCCCTCCACTCCCCTCCCTTCTGTAACCCTCAATTTGTTTCCCGGGGTCCAGAGTCTCTCATGGTTTGTCTCCCTCTCTGATTTCTTCCCATTCAGTTTTCCATCCCTTCCCCTGTGGTCCTCTGTGCTAGTCCTTATGTTCCACATATGAGTGAAACCATATGATATTTGTCTTTCTCTGCTTGATTTATTTCACTTAGCATAATCCCCTCCAGTTCCATCCATGTTGATGCAAATGGTAGGTATTCATCCCTTCTGATGGCTGAGTAATTTTCCATAGCATACATCTTCTTTATCCATTTTCAATTCAGAAGTGGGGGACAGGGAGAAGCCATGAAAGAAGCAGGTTTGGGGAGTGACTCCCAGTTACGTGCTCCCTCTGTCCACTTTACTTCTCCCCCCAAGTGACCTCCTCACACTACTTGAGATGTTTTGTGACTGAAATGGCCATAAAGTTCCCTGTTGAAAATGTATTTGTCATAATAAGCAATCTTTGTGTAAAACACAAATAAATCTGGTTAGAGTCAGATCAACCTACATTTGTTGAGCACCTATGCCATAGCTCGGGCTGTTATGCATTTGGAAATCTCGGGAAAAAAGATTTTTTTTAAAGCTTTTACCCAAATGTCAATTGTTTATTCAATTGCTTTCATCTTGAATTATGTAAGTTTTACTGAGTAAATAAAGTAAATTTAGAAGAAATGAGAACAAAGGGGAGGCTCAAGGCTAGAGGCACTTGGGCACAGTTCAGCAGAGGATAGGAGTTATGAGCTGGGCCTCAGGCACAGGCGGGATAGAGAAACAAGGAAGACAAAAGCGGTTTTATTGAAACAGATAAACCCAGTACCACTACTGGCTAATTTGCAATTGTGCACAAAGCTGCACAGCACCAGAATAGAAGGAGCATGCCCCCCGCCCCACACCCCCTAGCCCGTACCTCTGGTTCTCTACCAAGAGTGAGACATGAGTCTTTATACCCCAACCAGGGCGACTGAGGTTAAGTCCGCTTCTGTAAGAACCCAGCCAATCGGCTGGTAACAGTGGTTCTTTCTTGGCAAAAAGAATGGGTTTGTAAATGAAGGTGGAGGGAAACTTTGGCTTTGTTTGTGGGGTTTGAAGTGTTTCTGATAGAACTTGTATTAATGAATTACTTGTCTGATTTTCAAACAAGTACAAATTTAAAAATTTAAAATATACCATGTACAAGTGGAGTTTTGGAATGGACCTCATTTATAAATCAGAGACCACCCATAGGAATATTCCTCTGCCAACATCCTCTTGCCCCTTTGAAAAGCCCAAGTCAGCTTCTAATGATCCGCCACTATCCACAAGAAGAAACTCAATCTGCGAGTTTAATGTAGACACTTATCCTTTGACAGGGTCTTTGTGACCACCAGGCAAGTTCATTCTAACTTCCACACCTTTGTTCATGCTAACTAGAATTCCCTCACCTGTATTATCCACATAATCAAGTCCAGCTCATATTTCCTGGCAAATCTGAGTCTTCTCTGAATCTGAAGCCAATATAGCTTCAGATGTAGCTGGCCCTGGTTCCCTCACCTATCATTTATAGTACTTACCATCTGAATCTCACTACTCGGTACTTGGTTTACTGCCATAGGGTCTCAAAATATATCTAAATCAGATGACCAAATCCTCATCATTTTTAATCACCCAAAGAACCAAAGCAAAGGTTTACATAGACAACTCTTGCTCAGCTGGTAATTGCACATTGGGTAATTTTTAGGAGCCATTCCCCTTTGACTTTCACTACCCACTACACATGTCGAATACATTCCCTGTTGGAAGCATTCTGCAACACACCAGAGCACTTTTTGTCCCTTCACTTACCAGCATTGTGTTCACAGAATGGGCCATCACCTCAACATATGATTTCAAGATGTTAACATTGAACGCAGGAGTTAGTAGTTCACGGTGCTGGAACCACTTGGGTCTGTCTAGACTCACCAGTCCTTTTCCTTGAGAAATAAAAGGAACGAAACCTCATGCCATTTTATTAGATGAGATGAGGAAGGAGAGGTGAGGAACACAACATCATGGGGTGACCGTGGCACACAGGTAGTCACAACAGAGTGGAAATCAGAGCAGTGCTCATATATTAAGTTGGAAGTCAGTTTGATGCTTACATCTGGGATGGATGTATTTAATATTGTGAGGAAGACCCCAAGCTTTGCAGCCTGATGAGTGTGCTGATCCTGAAATCACCAGCTACTATCTGTGTAGTAACTGAGTAAGTCACTTAATCTTCCTGAGGCTTGGTTTTCTCAATGATAAAATGTGATAATAAGCATCTACTTCACTGTGTTGCTGTGCAGATTAAATGAAGGTGTATACACGAAGCACCTGGACCAGCCTCTAGCTTGTGGTAGAAACATAACAAATATTCGTCTCCTCTTGACTCTAAACCAATCCATAAACCACGCTGTGAGCACAAAATTTATAAGGAACTAGACCCAAGTATTCACTCTGTCCCCAGATGTCTCCTCCTTGAGCCTTAGCCTGTGCTTTACACCTATAGATGATACGAAATGGAAACACTCATCAAGGTCAATGCTTTACAACCTTCTGTTGCAAGAAAGATCATTAAAGATTTGGCTTTAAAATGACCTTAAAGTTTATTAATATGTGATTTCCATCATTCATTGAGAGCTTACAACATGTCAGGCTTGTGATGCATGGTCTGGCGCTGGTCCAATGCCAGCCATTACACTAAGTGTAGAAAATATGTGCTTCACTTAATCCTCACAATGGCCCAGAGATGTAACACTCATTAGATGTTTTCCCCAAAATCACATTCAAATAGTCAGTGGGAGGCAGTATTCAAATCCAAGTAGCTCTGAACCCCAAACCTACAGTTTCTTTCATTTATTTCCTTCTTTGTCTAATATAAATACCAATTACAGGACTAAAAGTCTTTATTTATCTGCTCATGGAATACTGTCAAACTATATTTCAGAGCGAAACTGCACTGGTTTGCAAATGGAAATAAAGGAACTCCAAAAAGAAAGGGGAAGAACCAAGAAAACAAGAGAGAAGAAAGGATAAAATAAAGGATATAGATGTGAGGTTGCAGTTTTAAAGACAGAGATGGGACCGATTCACACACATGTGCCTTGAGAATGAGACTTTGGAGAGAGAAATGGACAAAGAGGGTTCCTAGGAAGTTGTGCTGTGTTGACTTAGCACTCCCTCTTGATCTTCCCCCTAGATAACTTGCAGTATAGATCTACCTTCTTCTTAATGTTTTTGAGCATTCTGATTTGTTTCTTTGGAATACTCTACAATAGCAAGGGGACCTCAAGTGAGAGAGTGAGCCACTCCGCTCTCTTGCACATACATACCAAGACATGGAATCAAGAACTTGTACAGGTACTTGGACTTGGCATCTGCAGAGTCAAGGAGAGGAAACAAACAACAGCATTAGAGGGAAATTACCAAAGTTGGAGAAGGTTCTCTTCATTTGCCTTCACTAAGCATAAATAGCAAAAAGGAGCCCAGGGCTCACCCCTTATACCCTTGGCAGGCTTAGGAAAACCACAAGTCTTGGTTGAGGAACCAGAGAACAATAAACCTAGGAGACAGAAAGAACACAAACCCAGATTCTTCCCTTGCTTACACTTTCTCCAACGGAAACAGATTGCCTGAGGGTTACCAAGTTTCCAGAACAGGATTTGGGACAATATATTATATCCTTCTTGGAAAGTAGATTAGTAATTATAGCAGAAGCTGGCAAACCACAGAAAAGGGGGGACAAATGCCTCTTGGGGTTCTTGTAAACTCTAACATGGAGGTATTTTATAGCTCATGTCCTTTAAGAGGTGAGCAAGAAATAAATCAGGGCTGGGGTCATGGGAAACATGGAGACTTTCAGGGAGAGTCTGTTTTCCTTTATTATGTTTTACTAAAAGTAATGGAGACAGTGGACAGGGAAGAAAGATTAGAATATAAGATTTTAGTTAAAACTAAGTTAGTTAAAACAAAGATGATGGAGCAAACACCAGATATTTTAATTTTGTGCTATGAGATGATCCACCACAAATGCCTTGAAAAAGGCTTGGATGGGGGAGTTAGATGACTTGTACCCCAAAAGGAAACACAGTTGAGAAATATGCAGAAAACAAAAAACAAAATTGGGACCACAGTCAAGAGGTTATACTGGTAAATGAATGATCTAGCATTCAGGTTTACGGACTGAATCAGCAGGGGCAGAGCTACTTCTGAATTCCCCTGAAGACTTATGCTCAAGCAGGGGGTTGAGAGAGTAGGGAGTATTGCTGACACTGAAGTCACAAAACCAAGAGGCAAAGGAAGCCCTTGGTGATCCGGTGATGCCAGCTGGGCTTTAAGATATACCCTCAAGGGCCCATGGGAATCTGAGCTGGACAAGGGACTTGGGGGGATGTGATAATCCCTTTCAGGGTTGGTCAGAAACCTCTCCCCACTTTCTCCAGGTCTTTCTTTTTAAATTCCAGGATAGTGAACACAGTGTTATATTAGTTTCAGGTGTACAATGTAGTGATTCAACAAGTCCATACATTACCCAGTGCTCATCACAGCAAATGCACTCCTTAATCCCCATCACCTATTTCACCCATCCCCCCCTTTGGTAACCATCATTGTGTCTCTAGGTCTCTTAAAGGCCCGATTTTTTTTTATTATGTTATGTTAATCACCATACATTACATCATTAGTTTTTGATGTAGTGTTCCATGATTCATTGTTTGCGTATAACACCTAGTGCTCCATTCAGTACGTGCCCTCTTTAATACCCATCACCAGGCTAACCCATCCCCCCACTCCCTCCCCTCTAGAACCCTCAGTTTCTCAGAGTCCATAGTCTCTCATGG